ACGGGTCTCATCGCACGCGGAAGTTGTGGGGCGATACTATCGCGGCCGACGTGGCACTCCAAGGGATTCTCCAATCAGAATTCCCATTGTTTCGCGATCAGCTGGACGAAGATCCCACGAGCGCACGACAATCTGGCGCACGCAATCCCACGGCTGACGCCAACAACCCTCCGCACCCATCTGAAGAGATCGGCCCCGAGGGGCCCCGCGCGTCTCCAGGGCCGAAACCTGATCCAGGAAGCTCCGCTTCTGCGACCGCCCCCACCCAGGAACCGATAGTTGATGTACTCCGCGCGGACCTCGCTGCTCGCGCGATCCCCGATCAGGCCCTCCGTGGCCCTGGTCGCGCGTTGAGCGCCGGTGGAAGCCCCCGCGAGCCGATGGAGACATTCGCCCAGGCTGGAGCACCCGACATTCAGACGGATCAGCGATAAGCGACGCTGCCAGAAATGTTTCCGCGATCTCCCTGCCAATGTCAGCGACCGCACCTGCGACGCGCGTGCGAACGCTTTCCAGCTTGGCGAGGCAGGCGAGGATGAGGTCGCCTTCGTTGCAGGTGTCAACAGTTGGATTGCCGCGGAAAGCCCAACTCCACGCGCGTGCCGCTTGGCCGGCGCTCGCGTCAATGAAGGAGATGAGGCAGCAGTCGTATGCCCTCCGCATAGAAGCGCTGCCCTTCGCTTCCAGTAGCGCCCTGTCTTCTGGCAGCACATGAGAAACCAGGCACCTTGCACACTCGACGACATGCAATTGGCCATGCGCCTGCATGCCGAGAGCGTGGATAAAAGTTCGTGACCTTCTCCACTCCGAAACGGGACGGGGCGGGCCAGGACCGCGTGACTCTTGCGCAGCTCAGAGCGATGCACCATAGCGCTGCAAACTTTCAGGAGGGCAAAGCCTTCGGCAAGGGGATTGAACCTGCCATTAACTCCCGCTCTATCCCACCACCTGCACCTCCGCCGCCGCGTCGAGATGGGCCTGCCATGGGTGTTGCCCCCACCTCGGGCGCAGCGTCACCCGGCGGCCCTGCTCATGGCGACGCAGGCTGGACTGGCGGGGCTGCAGCAGCTGCCGCGCCGATTGCGGCGGGAGCGCGGAGGCCGATCACGCCATCGCGCCGGCCGCAGGAGGGCTCGCCACACATGGCCAGCAAGTGCAGTCGGAGCGGTACTCGCAGGATGCTTTCAGCGGCCTGGTGGCGTTACCACTTTCAGCACTACCGCGACGACACGCACCGCTACTAGTCGCACCACCTGAACAAGTGGATCTACATCGACGAGCGCGATTGCGAGCACAGTTGGGGCGACGACGCCACTACGCGCACGATCAGTGAATTTGGCAAACGTGGAAATTGCACGTGGGACCGCGAATATTCTGTTTCACAGGTCAACGAGTCTACAGACACGGTGACTTTGATTGAGTTGTTTAAAAATGTTTGTTGCCAGGGCATATATTGCGAAGGCCTGACGGCCGGCGCCGCCGACCCTGTTCGCAATGCGCAGCAAGAGATTACGAGGTTGCTCAAGGTCGGCTTGGCTGGAGCCCAGGGGAAGAGGAGTCCCAGGGGGGGGCGTCGTATCTGACCCGGGGGGGGGGTCGCTACCCCCCCCCCCCTCCCGGCGGGGGAGGGATCAAAGGGAAGGGGCTTCCCTTCGACTCAATTACGAGGTTGCTCAAGGTCGGCTTGGCTGGAGCCCAGGGGAAGAGGAGTCCCAGGGGGGGGCGTCGTATCTGACCCGGGGGGGGGTCGACACCCCCCCCCCCCTCCCGGCGGGGGAGGGATCAAAGGGAAGGGGCTTCCCTTCGACTCAATTACGAGGTTGCTCAAGGTCGGCTTGGCTGGAGCCCAGGGGAAGAGGAGTCCCAGGGGGGGGCGTCGTATCTGACCCGGGGGGGGGGTCGACACCCCCCCCCCCCTCCCGGCGGGGGAGGGATCAAAGGGAAGGGGCTTCCCTTCGACTCAATTAATTACGAGGTTGCTCAAGGTCGGCTTGGCTGGAGCCCAGGGGAAGAGGAGTCCCAGGGGGGGGCGTCGTATCTGACCCGGGGGGGGGTCGCTACCCCCCCCCCCCCTCCCGGCGGGGGAGGGATCAAAGGGAAGGGGCTTCCCTTCGACTCAATTACGAGGTTGCTCAAGGTCGGCTTGGCTGGAGCCCAGGGGAAGAGGAGTCCCAGGGGGGGGCGTCGTATCTGACCCGGGGGGGGGTCGAACCCCCCCCCCCCCCCCCTGATCAAAGGGAAGGGGCTTCCCTTCGACTCTTACGAGGTTGCTCAATCGGCTTGGCTGGAGCCCAGGGGAGGAGTCCCAGGGGGGGGCGTCGTATCTGACCCGGGGGGGGGTCGACACCCCCCCCCCCCCTCCCGGCGGGGGAGGGATCAAAGGGAAGGGGCTTCCCTTCGACTCAATTACGAGGTTGCTCAAGGTCGGCTTGGCTGGAGCCCAGGGGTTGCTCAAGGTCGGCTTGGCTGGAGCCCAGGGGAAGAGGAGTCCCAGGGGGGGGCGTCGTATCTGACCCGGGGGGGGGGTCGACACCCCCCCCCCCCCTCCCGGCGGGGGAGGGATCAGGGAAGGGGTTCCCTTCGACTCAATTACGAGGTTGCTCAAGGTCGGCTTGGCTGGAGCCCAGGGGAAGAGGAGTCCCAGGGGGGGGCGTCGTATCTGACCCGGGGGGGGGGTCGACACCCCCCCCCCCTCCCGGCGGGGGAGGGATCAAAGGGAAGGGGCTTCCCTTCGACTCAATTACGAGGTTGCTCAAGGTCGGCTTGGCTGGAGCCCAGGGGAAGAGGAGTCCCAGGGGGGGGCGTCGTATCTGACCCGGGGGGGGGGTCGACACCCCCCCCCCCCTCCCGGCGGGGGAGGGATCAAAGGGAAGGGGCTTCCCTTCGACTCAATTACGAGGGCTCAAGCTGGAGCTTCCGTCGTTCTGACCCTCAATTGCTTCCCTTCGACTCAATTACGAGGTTGCTCAAGGTCGGCTTGGCTGGAGCCCAGGGGAAGAGGAGTCCCAGGGGGGGGCGTCGTATCTGACCCGGGGGGGGGGTCGACACCCCCCCCCCCTCCCGGCGGGGGAGGGATCAAAGGGAAGGGGCTTCCCTTCGACTCAATTACGAGGTTGCTCAAGGTCGGCTTGGCTGGAGCCCAGGGGAAGAGGCCTCCCAGGGAAAGGGAAGGACAGAGACGACGAGTACAAAGAATGACGGAGATGACGGCTCGAACGGAAAAGCCCCTCACACACGCCGACAGGGTCGTCGGATATATGATATTATCGTGCCACGGACAGGCGCTACAATTCTGTATACTGGTTATGTTGGCATTATGGGCATAGGCGCACCCAGGCAAGTCGCCCGCTGCGAACCATGGTAAGTTTGGAACAGAGTCGTACACAATCTTTCCATAGCATCGACTTCATTTACATGGGATGTTGATTACCCGACGGAACGACACATGCTAAGCGTATTCCCCATGGCCCATTTCAACGGCATGATCCTTGTCGAAAGATGTTGGATCGATTTCTCCATTTTGGGGGGGCTTGGGTGCCCCCATGATTGAACGGCTTATGCTAGTATCATGTTGGCCAGCTATCGTCACAATTTCAATCACGCATATACTCTTGAATTCATGCGTTGGGTCGGTTTGCACGCTCATATTTCGTTGCACGTGAGATTTGAAAGGAAAATGCGCCTTGCGCGCATGCCTGCACACAGGATGTAGTGCGCCGGTGGAAACACCTGCGTCGGATGTACTTTGACAGTGCACTTGACGCTGAGATGCTCCTTTCTAATTTCTCAAACTCCCCCAACCTCGCAGCCTGTGGAGACGGGGAGTCGGCGAGGTGTGCCGAAGCGTTTTTGGGGGCGCACCCTTTGCCCGCTGAAGGCGGGTAGACCCCCTGATACCTCTTGCTGCGTGGCTGGTCCTTTCTTACCTTCCTAGCCGCGGTGGGCCCCGCTTGGGGGGCGCCGAGGCTGGAAAGGCGATTTGAGATGTCCTCGCACCTCTGTTCCCGACGCCCGCCTTTGTCTCCCGCGGGTCCGTGGCCAACGTCGACCGGGCGGGATTCGGGACGGGAGGCGCGTGTGAAGACAGCTCATCTCCCCTTTCTATAAATTTGTCTTGCTATCCTGTCGGCTCGGGCACTGGACTCTTGAGCGCCCTCGATCCGACGGGCGAGAGGATAAAAGATCTCAACTTGTTTTCCTCATCGTCCTCTACTTACGGATCACACGTTCGGTTCGACTCATCGGTCGTTAACCTCCGTTCACAGGTTCCCCCACCCACTCCAGCGCTTCGTGGCCCCAGAGGGAACTCCGCCGAAGGTCCCGGTGGCGCAGTCCGCATGCGTTTCCCCCACCAGTACAGCGCTTCGTGGCCCCAGACGGAGTTCCACCGAAAGTCCCAGCAGCGCAGTCCGCATGCAGTTCTTGCGCCCAGTGCAGCGCTTCGTGGCCCCAGCCCAGAGGGAACTCCACCGAAGGTCCCAGCGGCGCAGTCCGCATGCGGTTCCCCACCAAGTGCAGCGCTTCGTGGCCCCATAGGAACTTCAACTGAAGGTCCCCGCGGCGGAATGTGCATCCGGTTTTCGCGCCCAGTGCAGCGCTTCGTGCCCCCAGAGGGATCTCCACCGAAGGTCCCAGTGACAGAATCTGTATGCGGCTTTTGCGCCCAGGACACCGCTTCTTGGCCCCATAGGGGGAGTTCGATCGAAGGTCCCTGTGGCGGAACTCGCATGCGCTTCGCCCGCCCAGCACAGCGCTTCGTGGCCCCAGAAGGGAGCTCCACCGAAGGTTTCAGTGGCGGAATTCGCATCCGTCTCCCCCGCCCAGTGCAGCGCTTCGTGGCCCCAGAGGGAGCTCCACGGAAGACGATACCCACAATTGCGGTACTCACAACTGCATATGGTTGGATTTTTCGCTAGGCGAATTTTCTCCAACGCACACTTTCGTTAGCAGGCAGCCACACCTCACCACCAGCCGTTTTCGCCGCACCCACCTCCCGAAAGGAGGAATGGTATGGCATGGACGGCTACGGAGACATGTCAAAATGGTACGGCATGAACGGCGAGGTCGGCGAGAATGGTTGGGGACGCTCGTCTCTCGCCGTCTTTCCACTTCGGCATCCGTAGATAGTGTGTGCCCCACGCTGGCGAATTTAGCCATCTTTTCGTGGTATCGTTGGTGGATGCTGCGCCATTCCTAAGAGTTGAGCTCGCCTGAGGGGTCGAACCCTGCCTGGTGGATCTTGCCTTCACCCCCTCGGCAGTTGCGGGTGCGATAATCCAGCTCCGCCTTGACCTGATGTGTCAATCCCCGTACAGGGGGTCACCCAACACTTGCTGAGATTATCTGTAGCGGATCCATTCAAACACGGAACATGGCATGCGCATCCCCTCCAGCCCATCAAGAAACAACCTTTGGGCGAGACCACGTGAAACGGTAAGACGTGGACGAGCATGAGTGAAATGACGAGCTTGGGGGAGACCGGCCAAATCGGATCTCGGGGTCATCACGAGCACCTCCAAACAGAGGTTTCCTTCGGGACTTCTGTCAGAGGCAGGGGTGCCTGCTTGGACAGCCCATTACACCGTACACCACTGTGTAAAATGTGTAATGGTGCATTGGTGTGACGCTTACACCAATTTCCCAAATGGTGCAATGGTGAAATGGTGCAGGTTACAGTCATCAGATCCAGAGCGCCGCCACGCTGGGACAGCCGCCCCCCCCCCTCACCGCTGGCGTCGGCCAGCATCCGCTCAAAGCCAGTCCACGGAGACCCATGCCGAGACCCATCCTGGCCGGCCTCTCAAGCTGCATCCAGCCGCGGCGACGTGGAGCGCCCCCCAGCGGCCAGAGAACCAGGAGAACAAGGGCGAGTGCTGGGAGCAGGAGGCCATGAGGCCTCCAGAAGCCATGCTGGCACTCGTTCTGGGCCACGCCGGGAGCCTTTCAGGCCCGCTTTTGAGCTGTCGGAGCCAACACGGGGGCTAGTCGATGCTCTTTCCGAAATGCTTCACACGCTGCTCCCCACGCCGCTCCGTCGCGCATGTTTTCCCTGCATATTTTTCATCCTCTTCAGCCTTTTCGTCCTCCCCTCTCTCTCCTATCCCCTATTCCTGCTTCCCTTTCAGAAAAAGCAGCACTTGCTCTGGACCCTCATCTGCGTCCTAATTTGAATCCTCAGCCTCATCCGAGCGTTCCTCTTGCCCACTCATAGTCACACTTATTACATGCTGCCTCTTACCCACCCTCTTCATCACCCTTTGTCCTGTTCCTGGTCTTCCCCCTCCCTGTCTGCCTCCTCCTACGTTGCCGCGGGTTCGAGTCCGAGGCTCTGGACAGCAATTCGAGGCTCGATGATTCGATGATTCGTTTTGCCGACGCTCTCCGCCTGCTACGCTCAACTGACCTGCGGTGGAAGTGACCGCTCTGTGCTGCATTGCGTGCAGTCGCCCCGCCGCCGGAGTGCTTCACAGACGCTGGCAGCGAGCGCGGCCTGCCTAGCGCGACGTGAGCGGCGGGCTCCCGACCAGGGCGCGCCCCCGGGGGCGGGGGGCGAGGGGGCTGGGGCCTCCCTGCATGATGCCGTCATGGCTTGCCTCGCCCGTTCCAACGGCAGCTCGTCGGCGCCCTCGTGCTCCCCAGGTGCCCGTTGTCGAACGAGGCCATAGCCGCATTACCCACGCATCGGTGGCGCCCACCCCGCCTCAAAGCTTACCACGGCCGATGGCTTCACACAGCGGTGGGCGTGCGACGGCCTCCCGCTCCTCTGCCTCGACCTGCATGCAGAGTCAAGCGCCAAAAGAGTCCTGACATCAGGTCGTAGAGGACACCATTTGTCCCACAGCACGACTTTAGCAAAGCGGCCATTTGGCGCGAGGCTCGCTTGACAAGCAGATCCGATTCTGCGAATTGAGGATGTTGTCGAGCAGGTGCGATACCGACGCGCCGTGTCGGTGAAAGGTAGGGGGACGCTGACAAAGCTCGACTGGGGTCCCCTCAGCTGGCTGCTCGTTGACTGCAATTTCGCGATCGCGATTATCTGGGGTATTTGCAGCTGGTGGTGGGGACACGGTGGAAATCCCCAGCGCTGAATTCAGCACGGGCCCGCGCCGTCCCATCATGTGAGTTCTGGAGGACGGGGGGGGCTAAATATGTTTCTTTTGTGTGCCTCGTTCTGACTGCTCGCTGGGCGCAGCTTCTGGGCGAAGCCCTCGGCACTGCTGCTGGAGGGCACGTCGCGCTCGACCGAACGGCCGCTTGGGCTCATAACAGCGCACGCGCAAAGCTACGGGGCTGTGATGCTCAAGCGCTGCAGGTTGTCGGCGATGGCATCGCACGCGCACGCATGGATGCACTCGAGAGCCCTGCCTCTCTCCGCAGGGAACCCGTGGATCCACATATCGGCACCGCCGGGACGCGTCCCTACTGCGAAACACCTCTCGTCGACGCGGTCGGTTGAGCGGCAGGAGGTGCTCGCCGGGCCCACTTTCCTGGGGAGGTGGG